GAGACGGGAGGATAAATCGTCTCTGCTCCTTCCTCAGATACGAGACCAGCGGGATGGGAGACTCCCGGGTCAAGGAGGTTCTGCTGCACGAAGACGATGACCTGTGGGTGAGCCTGAGACACAAACACATAGCCGAGGTGTCCCAGTGAGTATCGCCTGCGTCGCGTCCTCTGGTGGAGTAATGAAACCTCCGTACGGCGCTCAGAGGAGTTTACTTTGGTTTTGCTCTGATATTAGGGAAGTGACGCGTCAGCTGAAGGAGTTTTCCTCCAGCAAGAGGATGAACACCGGAGAGAAGGTAAACCTGGGCTTTAAATCTGAAGCTATGCCATGAATTAAACGCTGTAGAGACGAATTCATACCAATAATTTCCTGCATAGTCTAGTGTATGGAACGAATAAAGTGTTTTACATCTGTTTTACATGCTGCTAGGCCTGTAGCAACAACCAATAAATCAATTAATTGTATGATAAATTAAAATTGTTTTTCTATTTTTTTCTCACTTTCTATCAAAGACTGAAGGATAAAAATCTTCAGTCTGGTGTTTTCAGTCTCAGCCTGTTTTTCTCTACAGAGATTTCATATTTGTTATTTCTGTTGTTTTGTTTATTTATTTTGGATATTTAAAATATCTCCCAGTTCCTGAGTTAAATATTTATTAGAGTTTATCGGCATAACTTCTAGGAGAAATTATCGTCCAGCAGAATTTGTTTTACGAACCGCCAAAACAAAATTAAAATAAATCTTCCAGCAAAAACTAGAGGAAACATGAATGTTTCTGATTCAGCTGCAGGAGCCACTGATCATAAAATAGAAATACAATGAAAGGACATTAAAACGTTGAATTACCTTGTGTTGTTTTAATATAAACTCCATTTAAATCTTTGGTTGTGGTCATTATTAGAGTGTTGCTTGTGTTTCCAGACCACCATGAGGGATTTGTCCCAGATGCTGAAGAAGATGCCTCAGTACCAGAAGGAGCTCAGCAAGGTGTGAGCCTCATGTTTATCCACATAAACACTCCGTTGGGTTGGGGTAATAACACCCAGGGTTTTGTTTCGTGTCTTTGCCAGTACTCCACTCACCTGCAGCTGGCTGAGGACTGCATGAAGCACTACCAGGGGACGGTGGACAAGCTGTGCCGCGTGGAGCAGGTTGGACCAGACGAGAACCAGCAGTACCGCAGTAACGCCGTGAGAAAAAGCATGACTGGTGTGAACTGGCGTTTCAGGATTTGGCGATGGGCACCGACGCCGAGGGGGAGAAGATCAAGGACCCGATGAGGGCCATCGTCCCCATCCTGCTGGACGCCAACGTCAGCACCTACGACAAGATCCGCATCATCCTGCTCTACATCTTCCTCAAGAACGGCGAGTGGACGAGACATTTACTCAGATTAACCTCTGCTTCTACTGTTACATTTTATCCAGAATAATTCAGTGAACAGACATTTTCTATGCTTTGTTAATCCAGTTGAAGCTTTACTCAACTAAGAGTAGAGATGCTGCATAATAAAATCACTCAGGTAAATGTAACTACCCAACTCTGGACAGAAAGGGGTTCATTTACTTTGCAAGACAGTAAATACCTGGTTTAAAGTTAAGAAAAAATGTTTTTAGAAGTCAAATTAAATCTAGAGACATAAGAAGTGATTTTATACGGAGCCTGTAACAGGACATGGAGATCCAGAGAAAAAACCAATCCCAACTTACTTTCTCGAGATCCTGAGAAATGTTTTCAAAAATCTCACGTTTCTCTTTTGGGTGAAAATGTTTATACAGTTTCTGCAAAGTCGGTGGTGGAGTTTAAATGAGACACAGAGGACAATTTACTGCATTTCCTCCATTCTGGAGACGATTTACGACATTTTCTACATTTTATGGCGCTTCCTGAGGTCTTACAGAGTCTGTATGAACAGCATTTTCACCCAGAAGAGAAACTTAAGATTTTTTAAAGATTTTCTAAGGATCTCGAGAAATCAGGACTGCTTCCCCCTCAATGTCCCCTTTTTTAAATTTTACAACCTCATATCTCATATCTAATTTGTTTTCGTCCCATTGGAGCTGAATATATGAATGTGTGTTTGCAGGTATCACAGAGGAGAACCTGAACAAGCTGATCCAACACGCTCAGATCCCCCCTGAGGACAGTGAGATCATCACCAACATGGCTCACCTCGGCGTCCCCATCGTCACAGACGTACGATTCTCTCCTCTGATCGTCTAATCTCTTCCTTTATCGTGTTTTTAGTCATTTCCGTTCCGGTTTTTCTTGACTCTTTGCTCCTCCTCTGCTTCTCAGTCTACTCTTCGCAGAGGAAAGAAGATGGACAGGAAGGAGCGAGTGAGCGAACAAACCTACCAGCTTTCTCGCTGGACTCCGCTGATCAAGGACATCATGGAGGTAACGCACATCTCCAAATCGTAGCTAAACTGAAAAAATGAATAACAGAGTGAGTACTCAGGAACGCTCCCGTTATATTTGGTTATTTGTAAAATAAGTCAGACTGACTGATTGGTTATTTAATTTTAACTCGACTCATGTTGAGTTAAAGCTGGAAATGTTTGACTAAAGCTTTAACCTGAGTTAAAGCTTTAGTCAAACATTTCCAGCTTTAGTGACTCAGGTGGTTTTATGCCTTTCTATGAGTGATGACTGTTTTGTTGTGGTTCCTGCAGGATGCGATCGATGATAAACTGGACACCAAACACTACCCGTACATCTCCACCCGCTCCTCTGCTTCCTTCAGCACCACTGCAGTCAGGTACCCACGTTCTGGAGACGTTTTGGGTTTTTTCTCTCTACAGACAAACACCGAGGGTTTGGATCGATTCTGACTGGACAGAAGATGAGTCAGATAGTTAGCTTACTGGTATTTGGCAGGTAGTGATCAATAAAGTAATTAGATTGTCAATCAGACTTTCAGATGAAATTAGGAAACAAATGGAGATCAAATTAAAGCTGCAGCTCAGGTAAACATCTCTGTACTGGACACCCAGTTACACCAGCTTGTCGTCTGTTACTGGGAACAGTTTGGTGTTGATTAACTCAAGTAGGTCAACCTTTCAAAGTAAAACTCTAAACTTTATTTTAGGGCTGTGGTGATCTGCCATTATTCAAATATCATTCACAAAAAAATCTGTATTTTGATAACTTTTGATCCCTCATTCTTAACAGAGTCACCAGTTTTCAAGCTGATTGATCAAAACCTTTCAGAAGCTAAAAATGGCCCAAACTGGGTCAAAACCAATCAGAATTCCAAATTCAACCCAAAATGGCCGACTTCCTGTTTGTTGTAGAGTTTGAGTTCTAGAGTTTTTTGCATGTTCTGGGAATTTCCAGAATTGTACCAAATTTCATACTTACTATCATAGTTTGAANTCATNGTTTTGTTCTATCAAGTAAGATAAATAAGGATCATTTTTATCGTTTCCAGGGGGCGCTGTTGAGCTAGTTCTGTTGTGACTTTTGCAAAAAGCTTAAAATATTTGAATAATTCAGAAGTCAGATCTTGGCCCTGGGTGTAATGTCACAGTCAATTTTAGGTTGTATTCCTGTTGTAAGTAGGAAAACCAATAATTTTCCTAATTATTTTGGTGGAGACTATTATTATTACCAATGTGACCCAATAATATTATTTTTGTGTTTTTCTGATTTATGCGCTCAAATGCTAAAAGGTTTGAAAAAATACTTTATGTACCAAAATGTTAAAAATAGTTCATAGGTAACTCTGGGCTGCTTTGATAAAAATAATTTGATTGGGATTTAAAATTAATGCTAACGTGTTAGCATGTTGTGAAAAGTGGAGAGAAAAGCTAAAGACTTGAATATAAATTATGTATTTTCTGCGGCAGTGCTCGATATGGACACTGGCACAAGAACAAGACCCCTGGAGAGTACCGCACCGGCCCCCGACTGATGGTCTTCATCATCGGAGGCGCGTCTTTCAGCGAGATGCGCTGCGCCTACGAGGTCACGCAGGCTAACGGGAAGTGGGAAGCTATCATTGGTGAGTGGAGCAACGTTGGATCTTGGATCCTTACTTTACCTTAACTTACTTTTCTACTGAGTAGCACGAGATAATCTGCAGACATGTAGCTTCAAAAAGCCCCACATTTATTATTAGCTGCAATCCAAACAGGTCTAATTAACCTGGAATCCAGTTAAGACGTTAATTCACTTCAGTAAACGGTTGTCTGGTTGGGGTTTTAAAGTTCGGTCCAGTGAGTTTCCAGTAATATTTCATCGAAAACTGGGCAGTGAAATCTGTCCCGTCTGGTTCATTCAGAAAAACTCAGTTTTGTCCAACAAACTCCTCCCTCATTTGTATATCAAAGTTATTGACGGTGTCTTGCAAAATTATTTACAATCTTTGAGGTTTTTTTCCCATTTTTTGACAATGCAACCACAGATTTCTGTTTTATTGGGCTTTTATTTGATCGGCTAACATAAAGTTACTAGGAAATTAGTCATTTCTCCATTAAAAACATCTACTTGAGAAGTTTAGTCTGATACCCCTAAATAAATGAAAATAAATCTTTAGCATTTCTGCTACTTAGCAAAACTCAACAACTGTAAAAAAATGAAACCAGGAGTGAAGGATCTGTTTTAAAGAACCACTTCCTGAAGTTCAAAAATGTAGATTGTGCAATAACAAATTTGGTCCTTTGCTAATTCTGACATACTGGGTGTCAATATGGTTGAAATTAGCAGTTTAGCGTTAGCTTCCACTAATTAAGTTGTTGGTGTAGCACTTTTATTTTACATTTATTTTATCTACTCATTTAATTTTCCTTGGTATCTATAAAGCATTTTTAATTGAATTAGCATTAGTAGAGCTAATGTTAATTATTAGCACGTTAGCATGGTTTCTGCATGTTTTTTCATCAACTCCAATTTAAGACTTTTTAAGACCATTATGAATGAAATTTAAGACCAGTATCACAACATAAATGTACAAACTGGGGGAAAACACCAAAAATACTCCCTTCCATTTCTGAATCTTTAGCTACTTTGTAATTATCCATCACATAAAATCCCAGTAAACGGTTCCAGTTTGTGGTTGTGGTGAGACGAAATGTGGAAAACTCAGAAGGTGTGGACTATTTTGCAAGGTACGGTACCGACTGTGTCACATTAGTCCTGTTGTGGCCCTTAGTACTGCTGTCTTAAAGCTGAACCATCCACTGTTTTCTTGTTTCCTGTTGCTTTAGCTGTTGTCTCTCAATCAACTGTTATCTTTAAATTGCAGCCTTGTCTTCTTCTGTCTCCTTTTGTTGGCGTGTTTGTGACCTGAGTGAAGTTGGCTCCTCCCACCTTCTTCAAATCTAACAAAATTGGTGTCAAACGTTTGTGCAGCAAACATTTTCATTTGTGCCGCTGTCACTTTAAAGATATTGATAAGAAACGTTTCCAGATGTTTTTTATCAATATCGTCAAAGCAAAAGCACCACAAATGAAAATATTTGCTGCACAACCAAAGTTGATTGACACCAAGTTTGTTTGAATTTGTAAATGTGAGCGGGGAAATGGTTGACCTCTGACCTCTTGAAACTTTATTATCCTAAAATGATAGCGGCACAAACAATACATTTTTCTGTGCAAACGTTAGACACCAATATGGTTACATTTGGGTAATGTGGGGGTGGAGGTCTGGTTGACCTTGTGACCTTTAAACTTAATATCTTCAAAGCAAAAGCAGCACAAACAAAAAATGTTGCAGCACAAACCTAGCAGAGTTGCTCAACACTAATTTTGGCTGTGGGAACTTCTTAATATCTCAATGAAAGCAGCACAAAAACTAATTTTGCAGCACAAACAGCACAGTTTATTGAAACCAATTTTGTCTGATTTGAAGAAAGTGGGATGGTGGTTGACCTCTCACGACCTCTGGAAACATTTATTAATATTTTTAAAATGATAGCGGCACAAACAAAAATTGCTGCACAAACATTTGACACCAATTTTGCTAGATTTGGATAATTGGGAGGGATGGGTGGGCTGGTTGAGCTTTTGACCTTTAAACTTTAACATCTTTAAAGCAAAAGCAGCACAAACAAAACATTTTGCAGCACAAATGCAGCAGAGTTTATTGACATCAATTTTGTTTGATTTAGTAAATGTGAGCAGGGCAATTTGTTGATCTCTCATGACTTCTGGAAACATTTATTAACATCTTTAAAACAATAGCGACACAAATTAATATTGTTGCTGCACAAACGTTTGGCACCAGTTTTATTAGATTTGGGTGATGTGGGGAGTTGGTTGACCTTTAAACTTCCATTAATATCGTCAAAGCAAAAGCAGCACAAACAAAAACATTTTACACCAACTTTGTTAGATTTTCGTAATGTGTGAGGGATGGTTGAACTTTTGACCTTTAAACTTTAACATCTTTAAAACAAAAGCAGCACAAATGAAACATTTTGCAGCACAAACTTAGCTTTGAGCTTACTGACACCAATATTTGGCTGGTTGACCTCTGGGAACTTTTTTATTAATATCTTTAAGATGATTGCAGCACAAACATTTTACACCAACTTTTATTGGATTGAGGTAATGTGTGGGGGTCTGGTTGAACTTTTGACCTTTAAACCTTTATTAATATCAGGAGCACAAACGTTTGTCGCCAGTTCAGTTTGTGGCAGGTGGAGGAGCCGACTTCACTCGGTTGGTACCGCCCTGTGGGTGCATGTCTGCCAGTGGACGAGTGTCTGTGTGTTTTCTCTTCACATCGTTTTGGGGTTTTATTTTGGAGAGTCGGGCTGTGGGATGCTGTGAGACGAGTGGTGAAGCCGCCTCTGTTCCTTCACAGGTTCCACCCACTTGCTCACCCCAACCAAATTCTTATCGGACCTGCAGCACCCCGACTTCCGAGAGTCCACTAGGGTGTCCTTTGAGGACGCACAGCCCTCAGACGAGTGAGGCAGAGACAGATTGGGAGGGAGGGAGACAGAAATCACAGGACAAAGTAAAGGCAGCCGCTCAGAGAAGCCCTTTCTGAACGTTTAGCACAAAGGGCTTCGTTTTGGTTCCTCCCTCTTCTTTAAACACTCAGAACTGTTTTATGTACCTCACCTTCCTCCTCCTCCTCCTCCCCCCCCCTGTTTCCCACTGGGATGGGCATTCCTGATCCCTCCTCACTGCATGGTCCGCTCAACTCCAACAGGCTCTTCTCTATTTAAAACCAAAATGATCAAATTAAAAGCTTTGATTTAGTGTTTAGCGGTGAATCTGTAGATTGAGTCTCGCCTGCGGTGGTCGGCGGCGCCATCGGCAGCGGTGGCCATGCCCTGAGGAGGTCGTGGCTCCATCCCTGCTGCCTCCTCTCCTCATCTCAGCCGGTGGATTAAATCGCTCTGATTTATGACGGCCACCCGAAGCTCCTCAGACCGTCTCACTCATTCACCTTTAACCCCCGACATCTTCACCGTGTGGCGCCGTCAGTGCTGCTGCTTTCCTTCAGAGCACAAACTTTGGCTGGTCACCTTTAGCCCGCCGTCACATGATAATACAGGGGTGTCCAAAGTGCGGGGCGGGGACCATTTGTGGCTCTTGGAATGATTTTTTTGTGGTCGTCAAGAATGATGCAAATTTGACTCGTCCAGCACAGATGGTTAACAAAGAGTTTCTATTCTTAGTCAGGGTTTAAGTTATTACCTGTGGTGGAGTTTTAGGGCCAAACTAAGACAATAAAAAATGGTAACACTTTGTCATAAACAGGTGTTATGTCATAAGCATGGCATAAAACCTGTCATGAACATCAATAAGCCTTCATGAATATTTATGACTGTTGTCACAAAGCGTCATTCAGTAAATCATGACACTTTTAATACAAAGTTGACATTATTCAAAATGTCTTTATGACAACTTGTCATTAACCAAGAAATCATGATCTGTCATAAATTTGTTATAAAAGTATTACTGATTAAACTTTTAACATTATGTAGGTAAGAGATAATATTAATGACACTTAATGACACTTAATGACATCATCATAACTGGCGCTACTTGTTCCACTTGATGTAAGAGGAACTTTTAATGACTATTTTTAAAGCTTAATGAAATCTTTATTGTTCGTCCTACTTGTTCCGCTTTATTTCAGGTAGGGAGAAATAATTACTGTTTTATTAACGTTTTTGACAGTGTAATAACACTTAATGACATTGTTATGACATTTATGATATGATAATTGGTTAATGTTAAGTTGTCATAACAAAGACATTTTGAATAATGTTAACTTTGTATTAAAAGTGTCATGATTTACCGAATGACACTTTATGACAACAATCATAAATATTCATGAAGGCTTATTGATGTTCATGACCGAGTCATGTCAGTCTCATTCACACCCCGTCAAACAAAGTGTTACCTAAAAAATTTATAAGACTATATGAAAAAAGTCTAAATAATGAGAATAAAGGCGTTATTACAGCTTTATTTTAGTAACATTATTCTCGTCATTTTATTTTATTTTTTCTTAGTGTGGCCCTAATACTTCGTCATAATCACCAACATAATTCTCTCACAATAGAAAATATAAATTACAACACAAAGTATTTCTCTTGTTATAAGTGAAACCACGTTTACCCAGAGACTTTTACTGAAAAGCTGACTTTGCTGCAATGAAATCAACTTTTAATTTATTTAATTAAACTTGATTAATTAGCGCTTTGAAAGTAAGACGCCCAAATCCGGTTCTCGTAACCGAGAATAACTGAAAACTAGATTCTTGTCTTTTAATACCAAAGATCTGAATCAACAATGATTAACAAAACAATTTTACTGCTTTAACACCTTTATTTTATTTTATTTTTTTGGCCCGCAAGAACTTGTGACTTGACTAATTTGGCCAAAAGTTTGGACACCCCTGTGCTAATATAACTCGTGGCTCGTCTACAGACGGTTAAAAAAACAAGGAAGACTTTTTTGGTAGTCTTCTAAAGCCCTTCAAAATTAAAAACCGGCTACACATGTAGTTAATGGTACTAACAAACACAAACATTGGACAGGAGGTTCTTTACATTGGTGAAAAATACAAAAATTAGATTAGATAAAAATTAAAAACTTATTAGAGCTGACGCAAGAGAAGCTTCAATAAAAAGCAAAACCAGAAAACAAAGATCTAATTTCAGCAATGGCTCCTTTAATGGTTTCAATAACAAAACTTCAGTCGACCAGAAAAACCATTAAAGACCAAAAATTACAAAAAAGTCTGACTTCATTAAAGGAAACCAGACAAACTGAGCAGAAAAAATAAACTTTCTACAGACCAAAACATCTTAAACTCTACAACCCCAATAAATAAAAGGTTTTCCTGTAATGCTAGAACTTGGCCTCCATCTCATGTGCGACTAACCTGCTAAAGCATGACGGTTTTCCTGAACAAAATGGCTCCAAATCTTTACCAAAGACTACGAAAATGTCTGACTTGATTAAAGGAAAACTGAGTAGAAAAATAAACTTCCTACAGACCTAAACATCAGTGAACGTAGTGATGAAACCCAATAAATAAAAGGTTTTCCTGTAATGCTACAACTTGGCCTCCATCTCATAAACTACGGTTTTCTTGAGCAAAATGGCCGCCACTTGCTGCAACAGATCTACGTTTAAAGCTTTGTTGTTTTAGACGCATTCGGAGAATCTGTGTAGTTAGAAATGAAAGTCTATAGTGTTGTGTTTCTGGGGCAGGGAAAACGCCCACAAAGCTGTTTGTTTTCAGAACAACATACTCAAACATTTAAATTTTTAACAAGGTTTTTTCTCACATTGCCAACAAATTCTGCCTCCAACAGACGGAAAACTCTCAGCTTTGCATCAGAAACAAACCTTAGAACTGGTGAAAGGGTGCTGGGAGTAAATCAAAGCGCCCGTTTGCCTCAGAAATAATTTAAACTTCCAAATATTTGAGCTAATTTGGTAAAGTTGTGGCACAAACTGTTTGCTTTACTCCAAAAAGCGCCTTTCACGTTGTACGATGTCTCTGTGTCTTCAGCCGCCACAAACTTATTTTGGATTTTATAATTTCTCCAGGGTTTTGTAGCTTTTTCTCTGAAGTTTGGTGTTTCAGATATTCTGCTAGTTTAACTTCACTTTCAACCACACCGACTAAAACCTGTGCTTCAAAAATATTACATGAAACTCTGTATATTCTGGTAGGTCACACACAAAGTGATACATCTATGCATTTTACTTTTTGGCGATTTTGAGGATTGTGGAGTTCCTCTTATAGAAACCCAAAATGTAGCTTCTTGCCAATTTTGTATATTTTTATAAGACCATATATAAACATTTTTGAAAGTAGAAGTACGCTGGTTTAGAGACCAAAACAACCCACAAATAGCTAATATTCATTAAAAACACTTTAAACTTTTATTTTAATCGTTCTAACACCAAATATACCAACGTCTGGATCGTAACACGCACAGTGGAAACCATTTTATCATTTCCATAACACCTATAGTTTTCCTTATCGCCACTCTTGGGTTTTCAGCCAATCACCATGAAGCATAACAAATGGAGCTCCTGGATTGGCTGCTTTGGAAACAACAGCCAATAGCGTGTCAGCTTCCCTAGATTTGTTTTCTTTCAAATATTTTGGATGCACTTTACGGAAAAATCTCTGTTTAGGTGAATTTTCTGTGAATAATTTGGAGTTATTAATGTAAAAATTAGCAAACACTATATAATATAAATATGATATAATATATAAACAATAATTATTGCTAAAAAAATTATTTTTTTATAAAATTGTAGAGCATTTTTAAATGTCTTAAGCGATTTATAAATAAAATGTACTAAAAGTTTGCATCCAAGCAGAAGTTTAGTTGAAGGAAAAGGTGATGTAGAAAAATATTTGTGAGCTGCATTTTACATCTGCCTTCATTTGCAATTTGTATCAATCTATTGATCGATTAATCTATTGATTATTGTGACGATTAATTGGAAAAAAGTCACATTCTAAAATTTTTATTTAACCACTTAAACTTTTTTGTACAATATTAGAAATACATTAAAAGACGCAAATAAATCATTTCCTTTTTTAAAAAAGAAAATATTTTATTGGGTGAAGTTAAAACATATTTACAGATTTTTTTTTCAAATTGTTCAAATTTGGCTTGAATATGTTATTTTTCTTCAGATTACCTTTTTGTTTTAACTCCAGTTAACAATTAATCGATTACTAGTCAACCACGATTAATCACTTTTCTACCTACTTTGCTGTATTAAACATCAATCTTTATTGATGACAATGTTTTTGTGAAGGACTACATTTTGGGTTTCATTCGCTGTAAACCACAACCAAACATCTGAACTATAACAAAGTGGAAATCAAATATCACTAAACTCACATTTTCACAGCCATAAACATGTTTCAATGTGGGACTGGTTTAATTTCAAAGCGCAGATAAAGTCACCACATGTGTAATATCCAATACTTTCTCTCTGTATGAAACCAAACAGCTGCTTCTGTTCGGACCGGATGTTGTGAAGTGTTTCTGGTAGAGAGAGCTTGTAGTCATTTCCTGCCTGCTCATGTGTTTGGTGTTGTGACCGATGGTTTCGGCCGCATGTGCATGCTAATAATGCATCGAAGTCCCAGCAGCAGCGCAGCATCTACAGCTGAATAACTAAACTATTACCGCTGTTTGGTTTGAAAAAACAAAGAATCCTTTCAATTGTTCTTGTTTCTCTGAGAAACGTCAGTAACGGGAAACCAGTTAAAGTAAATCTTTGGTTTTTATAGTGTCTATTTAAAGTGAATATTGCTTTTTTTCCTACATGATTCATTATTAACCTTCTGACTAACTGATTATGATTTCATAACTCCGGGCTTCCATCTTTTCTTTCAACGGCTGCTGTCATCTGCCGTAGGCCTTCATAACAAAAGCTGAGAACACATTTTATTTAGTTTTTATGCAACTAAACGCTCAGATTTAATGCTGCGTCTGTGTGTGTTGTCTCCAGGATCGACCCACATCTTCACTCCCACCTGCCTGCTGGAGCAGCTCAAGGCCATGAACAAACCAGACGAGGAAGTCACGAGCTAAGAATCCTCCTCTTCATCTTTCCCAGCCAAATCCATCAGTTATGTATGCATAAAGCTTGGAAAAGAGAAAAAAAAGATGGAAAAAATATATATCAAAGAATAAAACTGTTGCAAGTATTCTTGTTTTACAATGGATGCAACTAATTAAATTTATTTAAAAAAGATGATATTTGAAGGCCAGATAAAATGCAAAGTACCAAAATGTCCTATTGTATGCTAACATTATGCTAGGCTGTGTAAACAGTTTTTTCCTCTAGCGCTGCTCCTCCCTGTGAGTTTTACTGTTGGCAGATCGAAGGGGGATGTGCAATTTGAGACGACATTTTGTAAAATATATCATGCAATATAAATGTATTCACATATTTCAGCAGAGAGGAGCGCCATCCGCCCATCTGAGATGTTCGTATTCAGTAGCATGCTTGGACTAGTGTGGACTGTTCCGTGTTTTTGTGTCGAGTGTTTTGAGTGCAGAGGAGTTAGCGATTAGCTTATTTTCTTGGGGTTGAATACGATGCCAAAAACTTCTGAGTGTCAAACTATTTAAAAACATGCTTGGTAACTAAATATACACCTTCCTCCTGCTCTCCACTCATCTCCAAATGTAATTAAATATTATTTTCTTTCAAGGTTTTATGCTAATAAGCTATTAGCTACATAAGCTAATGGTTAAAACCAACCATTCAGCCATTTTGTTTACAAAATGTAGCACATGCACAAAAGTAAGCTATAGCAAATGCAAAAGTCCTAAATACCGTAAGTTGGTAAATCGCTTCGTTTACAACATTAGCTTCTTAGCATATAACTGTCAACAAAAATGCTAATTAGCCGTTAGCAAAGCAATCTGATCAGCCAAATCTAAACAATTTTTTACCCAATTTTGTTTTGAAAGTGTATTTATCCACAAATTTTTTTTACAATTAACTTTGTTGAATTGGTCTGAGATAACAGCTCATTAGCTCGAGCTAATTAGCTAAACTTTTCCCTTCTTTTAACCATTTCAAAATAAATTTTATGTCAATCAAAAGAAAGTTATCAGACATCACCACATTTTAAGTTTACAGCTTAATCTTACGTGTTTTGCTTGTCTTCTAGCTAGAGTGAAACAAGGAGGCTAAGCTAGCCAGTTAAGCTAACTGTTTTTCTGCTTCTGTTATTGTATATTCTTGAGAAAATTTTCCTATTTTGAAAATCTGAATACATTTATTTTGTTAAAAATAAGAAACATTTTTAACCAACAAACATCTTAGTTTTTTTCCACCAGTTGAATTTGGTTAGCTATTTGCTAACCAAGCTAATGAGCTAAGCTACCAAACCTGGCTGTTTTTCTGTTGTAAAAACGTTACTGAAAATGGTAAGCACATGACGGGCACCAACAGGGCGAACAATGTTACAGAGATTTTTACGTTCTTCTCGTTTGTGCCGGCTTGTTTGACTAAACAAAACAAAGTTCTTGGTTTCAGTATTCGCCCAATAAGCTCAGTTAGGAAGAGAAACAAAAAAATATTAAATGAAAGCTAAAACCTTCACCCCTCCTTACTGTAATTTCCTGCACCAACCTTTTTTCCACTCAAACAGAAGATTTATTGTTAAAAAAGGCTGTTGCTTGCTGATATTAATGATTAATCCTAAAGGCCCGGCTGTGTTTCAGTATTGTATCCTGTCAGATCATTAGTACTAACCGGGCCTAGCACTGAGTAAGTAGTGTCATGTATCTGCCATGCGTTGCTGTTTAAGCGTCTTACTGTTGAATTGTGGTTTATTTTAAAGCAGTGCAGTAGTGAAACCTTTTCTGTGAAGCCGCTGTGTTTGTGACGTTTTAGCTGTAGATGTTAAACTAGGTAAAATATTTACTACTATACTTTGTTTTTCCCTCTGGTGCAACGTAACCCCGTCCCTGAAGTTGAATGGCTTTGCAATGATAAAACTAAACCTGCGTGATATCGCCTCCCTTCTGTAGGCCAAACAAGTCGTATTTTGCACTATAATGAGTTTTCTGTGATGCAAATGCTTGAGTTTGTTTTTTATATATATATATTATAATTTAGGCTTTATTTGCCCAATCACTGTATTTATTTAAAAGTTATTCATCAGAGAAAAATGCCAGTGTGTCCTGTTTCACCTATTGGGGCTGTATGTTGGCGAGTGTGTAAGCACAAACAGTACTTCCATGTGTACCGATGTACTACGGCTGTCTAATAAATTGGCTTCCATTACATGTCGCCGTCTTTCACATCTCATACATGGGACTGGATTTCTGACATCTACTTAATATTTAACTAAAATTAAAATGTAAACTGGGTTTCGGCGGCATGGTTGATAAAGTGGAGATAAGAAAAAATTGTCTTTTTTTTTTTTACATAGAAAAGTGTGATTTGTCATTATTTTTATGAAAAAAATGAAGGACATAGGAAGATTAATTCCAACAATACAGACAGTTTTTCTGGGATTTTTAACATAATTAGTTGGAATTTACAGTGAAAACAAAAAGTCAATATTATTACATTCTTATTTATCACAATAAATTATTACCGATACGATAAAGTTCAAATATGTTATTACACCTGAAATACAAAATACATCACATTAGTAAATAACACTTGAATATTGATTTTAAAAGTACAAGTTTCTCTTATAAAATTAAATTTTTTCCATGTTTAGTGAAATAATTTGCAGTGGAATTAGAACTTATCAAAATTAAGGAATTATTTACCTAAAACATTTATATTTCTTGCTGAAAAGTTACGATAAGTTAGTTTTTGTCGTATTTCAAATGTACTAAGATAATTGCACTACAACTTACACAAAAATGCTTTAAGATTTTTGTGTCCACATATTGTAAGACACAAAAATCCTAACAGATTTTTCAGAGATAATGTATATTTTTTAATAGATAAAAGTGTGTATCAACTGTAACATAACTTCTATATTTTTAGTGTGAAGTCAAAAACATAAACCAATGTGGTGAGTTTAGATAAAAGTTCAGATGTAAAATTAATTTAAAAAAAAAATTACATAATTTAAAAATTGATAATCAGAAAATCTCCATTCAACTGGATTTTTATCTATTTTTGCAAAACAGAAACTGTTTAATTTTCTGTTTCTAAATGTGGAAAAGTGGTAAAAAAAAATAAAACTGAGACTTTCAGCTATTTCCATTTTATATTCAACCTTTATTGTTTTAGAGGTTGAATATAAAGCAATAATTTACATGAAAAATGTTGAGAAAAAAAAAACATTTTCATTTAAATTCTGAGCCAATTTTACGTAAAAAAAGTGTAAAATTCAAGTGAAAAAGAAATGAAAATGTCTGACTTACATTAAAGCTGGTCGGCGCCATCTCCTGGTTGAGCGGAGGTCTCTGCAGGTCATATGTCACATGTCCCATCTGGTCACATGACTAATAAATTATACAGTAAATAACGTTGAGCTCTTATTCTGAAATGACTCTGATCTCAGCAGGCAGAGTTTAAAGTTCAGAATCAAAAAACATATACATAGAGAGAGAATGAAGTTAGTTTACAGTTAAGACATTTATATATATATAAAAACAGAAAAGTGAGTTACAAAAACATTTACAACACATGTAATGTTCTATGTGAAGTAATTAAATCAATATGATCTACAGTGTTTATTAAAAATTAGTTATTTTAGTGCATTATTAGAACATTATCTAATATAAACATTAAACTCATTTATTTCCATCAGCTGCGTTTCCATTGACCAGAATATTGGAGTTACAAAAATTAATTTGCCTGATGAGAAAACATTTTTTTTAAAAAGCTAAAAAGTCTTTTGTGCTGGGATGAGACTTTTTTTTTTACTTTATCAAAACTGGAATGTAAGAAAAAAAAACTGTTTTGCAGGTGACCCACAACAGGATGTTACCACTGCTGGAAACAACAAAGACGATGACGACAGGAAGTGGAAACAAAGCAATTACAAAATAATGTTTTTTTGACATATTGACAAAATTTATAACCGAAACTCAGAAAAAAATAAAATAATAAAATTCAGCTCCAAAACCCGAACAGAAAAGTTTCTCCTGAGAGTAAAACCAAAGCAAAGTAACAAAGTGGAAAGTTACTGTTTTTATTGACGTTGGTAGCGTTGCTGTCCCTGCCCGTGACCGGAGCGGCTCGGCTTGCGGCTCGCCTCTAGTAGTAGCAGGACTGCGAGAGCAGCTTCTGGTAGACGAGGCCCGACGCCAGCGAGCGCGCCATGTGGCTGGACGTGCGCTTCATGCGCCGCGCCGCACGGATGGCGCGCTCCAGAGAGCCGTCCAGCGACGTCTGGGCCTCCACCGCGTGCGAGCGTCTGCGCCGGTGCTTCCTCTCTCTGGGCCACCGGAGTCCTGAGCCGTGGCCCGGCGACGCGTCAGCAAAGGAGTACTGAGGTTTGGAGGGCAGCCTGGAAAAACAGAGGAAAATATCAGGATTCAAAATGAAAAGCTGATGATTTGTGTTCAATTTGAGCTAAATAAGCACAATTAAAAGAAAATTCACATCTAAATCCATTTATATGAGCGTGTTTATCAATTAATTTAAAGTTGATTAATTGATAAGCGGCCATTTTCTTAAAAACCCGAGTTTTATCTTGTATCAAGATGGCCGACGGGGCTATTATAACACTGTTAAAAATGAAGCACATGATTACATTTATATTTCTTTTATGTTAACTGAATTAAATACATGAACGAGCTGATGTTTATTTTTCTCGCTAATGAAATAAAATAAGTATTTCCGTTTATTAATAATAAATAATTAGAAAATAATGTCTCACTATTAAACTTGGACATATTTGTAAAATATAAAAAAAAATATTTTTATATTTGTAAAATAAAAAAAATCTCTCAGGCTCCTGTGAATATTAAAATTATGTGTGAGCGCCCTCTGGTGGCTGGAGGAGGAGATCGCCTGGGACGATCAAATCTGAAACTTTTCAAACTCAGAAATTTTAATGTTTTTTCTAGAAAATTTATATTCTCAGAATTTCTGATTTTTCCCAGCAAATTTTCAACCTTTCAAACCCAAAAAGTTCAAAGATTTTGTCTGAAAATTTCTGATATTAATATCAATATTTTTCTGATTATTTTTCTTGCATATTTTCGACTCTTCAAACTCCAAACTTCTCTTCATAAAGTTGTACAAAAATTACATGCCTCCCAAAAACATGCCTTTTTACAATTTCAACTGTATTAAAATGAATAAAATGGTCAGATTTTTGTATTAAATTGTGTAAATCATGGTAGATGAACGTAAAAAGGCCGACAGTTTCTACACTGTTGATAGTTTTCTCATGCATTTTCCCCGGTTTGTTACAGTTTTCATGCATTTCATGCTTACAGCAGCTGCTGCTGCTGGTACAAAGGCTCCTGGTTCGGGGGTGAAGGTGACACTGAACTGCTGAACCTCCTGGAGGAAACTCTGTCTGAGGAATCTGGCTGGTGGTTTTTGTGAGTGGGGGGAAAATATCTGTAACAATCTGTGAATAAAACAGTTTCATATCCAGTTAAGTCAGTTTTTCTTTGATCTCATAATTTTTAAGTGTTTTTTAACCACTGGCAGTATTAACTGATTATTTTGTCCTTATATCACCTGAATCTGTGGATTTGTGTATTTTGAGGAGTCCACAGATGGAACAGCGGCACCAACACGGAGAATCCAACGGCTCTCTGCTGCCACCTGGTGGATCTAGCAGCACATAGCAAACAAAAATTCATCAATTATGCAGAAGAAGTCATTATGTAGGTGTTAAAATGTTTAAATAAAACTCAGAGACAGTAGATGAAGGCCTGGTACACATGGGAACAAGCATGGCATGTTTTTGTATTATTTAAGAAAAATACTTTTCAAACTCCAAAATGACAAAGTTTTCCCTAGAAAAACTTTTTTTCTGGCAAATTTTCTACTCTTCAAACTCCAGAAATCTGCATGTTTTTTTGCTTGAGAATTTTTGTAATTAATCTCAGAATTTTAGAAATTTTTTCTAGCAAATTTTCCTCATTTCAAACTCAGAAATTTCAAAGATTTTCTAGAAAATTTCTGAGATTAATCTAAAAATTTCTGATTTTTTTCCTAGCAAATTTTAAACTTTTCAAACTCCAAAAAATTTGTAAGTTTTTACTAGAAAATTTCTGCATTTTTTTGGCAGATATTTGCTCCTTTTCCCCCCTATCTGCCATGACCCTGATACACCCTCGTAGTTTCATCAGCATTTAGGACTTGGGCTGGTTTTGTATATTTCTTGGAGTTGAACAGCCTAAATGACTGAAATTTTCTTCTAAAGTTCTTCTGAATCGTGTCGGTGTGGGCGGAGCCTCAGCCTGAGGATGAAACTTTGTGACTTACAGGCTGGCTGTCTGAGGACGGACGAGCACTGAGGACAGAGGTGACTCTGATCTTCGCTGTCAGGTTTGTCTGCAGCGTCCGGAGCAGAGGACATCCCTGCAGGAACAAACCCTGAGTAAAACCATGTTTTAATTATTTAAATCAGCAGCAGGAAGTGAGGTAGTGAATCCTTACACGTCTGTGTGTTCCTGCTGTGAACGTTAGAGGAGACCTTCAGCGGCGCCAGAGACGTTTGGGTAAATCTGGAAACCTGAGCCTGAAGCTGCTCCAGTTCTGATCCCCTGACTGGGAAAAACAAAACAAGATGCAATAAACAGCTTCCTGTGACTGAGGGGGAGAACGCAGAGAAAAAGGATTCCAGGATCCTTTAATTACTGCAGCTGATTAAACAGCCTGCAGGTGTCTAGTCAAAGTCTTGGCAAACTCACAGAAGTGATTTTGTTGTTTTGGCGCAGCAGCGTCTCTCGTCTCTCTGGCCGTTTTACCAGAAAGCGTCTCGGGTTCGATGTCATCCAGGGTCTGAACTAATCTCCTCTCCAGACCGACGTCGCTGCAAAGCTCCACGGATCTGAAAACAGGCGACAAAATACATTTAAAAACTGAAAAACAACAAAAAAAATCCTCCACACACCAAAAACGGAAAAAAAAACGAAGCAGAAAATGTGGAATATCGTCTGTGATGTTATCGAGATATTTCACAACATATCGTGACTATCGATTTTCCCATCCAGTGAAATAATCTGCAGTTTTATCATCAATATTAAGGAATTATTGAGTTAAAACAAGCTCATATTTGTTGCTGAAAAGTTATTTCTGAGTGAGTTTTGTCTGATTTCAGGTGTTTCCAGTAGGAAGCAGATCAGAACTGCTTGTGTTTTGCAGTGTGTCCTCAGTTATCGCTTCACTGAAGACTTTTCCAGGCGCTGCAGCCGGACGATAAAATCTGACCTGATGGGAGGCGGGGAGGAGCGGTGGCAGAAGTTTTTCTGAGCCGAAGTCACCGCGGCGCCCAGCGGCTTCTCGTTTTTCGCCGAGCTCGGCGGTTTCTCGTTCCTCTGAGAAATATCCAGTCTCTCCTTCAGGTGGTTAACTTCGGCTTGCAGCATCAGGAACGCGTCACTGCAGAGCAGAAAAACAGGCGGGAGACTCAGGATCAGAAGATACACGCTCACCTGGAAGCCTGGGTTCAGTTTTACAGCAAACCAGTAAGAAAAGCTGCTTTACTGGGAATATTTCCAGTTAAATCCCACAAACATGCAGCACCACACCATGCAGTGAACAACACATTGTACCTCCTATTAGTAATCTCACTGAAAAGCAGCAGATTCTGCAATAAAATACAGAAAATTAAATAGGATTAAACAGAACATCTCTATAAACTGGAATATTTATTCCTGCAGTTCAATTTAAACACAGTGTGATAAATTTAATTTGTTTTATTTCTGAACATTTCAGAGTTTATGGTTTACAGCCAATAAAAACCAAGAATTCAGTTAGGAGAAATTACATAAGACCAATAAAACTGATTTGTTTTGTTACACAGATATGCCTTTTTTACCTAAGTAACCATCAGCAAATCAAGCATTTTCATGATAAAACAACACAAATTAACTTAAAAAACTGTTTCAATTCATAATTATATGACCATTTATTGTTAACAATGACAAGGTAAACTAAAATATAACAAAATGTAAAGTCTCTCACACCCTGACTCTAACTACAAACTAATTTAACAAAAATTAATACCTTATTTATTGTATAAAATATGAGCCAAACCTTATTTAAATTACACAGATCAATAACTTATTGAAACAACCAATCAAGTTGTGCTTCCTTATTCAAATTCAAAAATACTTTACTGATTGCAAGGGGAAATTAAATGTAACTTATATTAATTCAAAAACTAAATACTTAAACATAATATTAAAAACATAATATTCTAAAAAAGCTACAAAAAAAATCTGAACTTTTTTTTGCTAAGTTTAGCAAAAATAAATAATTTTGGTGATTTTAACTGACCTAAAACGAGAAAAATTTAGTTGGATTTAAACTTCAGACAGCGAGAAAAAAACTGTGTCCGTCATTTTATTAGGTGTATGTAAATATATGGTTTCAACTGTAAATAATGTTTTCCAAATTTAGGCTTTCAGGCCCTTTGTTACCAAACAAACCCTGACAGTGGAACCAGTTCAGCTCGGCCTGAAAGCACAGCACTGATCCCAAAGGGACATAAATGTTTCTGTAACTCATTTTTCTAAAAACAACAACCAGGGCTCGTTTAGGGCAGAGACGGCCCTGTTTGCTCGGCCGTCGCCGTGGCAACTGCAGTCCCACACACTCACATGGGGTTCCCCCGGCCCCCCCTGCTGGAGCTCCGAGCCCTGGGGGGGTCGCCATGGCGACGGCGGGCGGCCGGCGGGGAGCTGGAGAGAGAGCCGGCGGTGGAGCGGGCGCTCTGCTGGTCCTCAGAGGGCGAGTGAGCTGAGGGAGAGAGAGAAAACTGCAGCTGGTCACCATCATCTGGTTTATACTCAATAAAACCAAACATTTTTAAAAGTACTGCTAAGTCAGCCAAAGTATTATGACACACTTTAATCAGTTTACATGATTTTGCCAGCCGGTGTTAAGCCCAGATGAAGCTCAGTTAATACATTTATTTACCAAACTCAAACACACATTTAAATATATAAATGAATAAACATTTGGGTAAAGTGCTGCCAGAAGGCAAGTTATTCAGTAATTAATGTAAATATATAAGTTTGGGAGATAAAGTGTGATTTTTATACATATTTGCAGATTACTGTTACTTTTTCATGCTTAAAAAATGCTCACATTTTGTTTTTTATTGTAATAAGTAGTGTATTTTTTACATGTAAATTGAGTTTTGTTTATTTCTGGGTCAATATGTTTATAAGATGTAGTGTAAAGTGAAAAATAATTATACTTATATTGGATCGTTGGTATGCAGCTGCCTTTGAGTAGCTAAAATCTGCAAACACTTCACTCTCTAAAAACACTTACTACTTCCTATTTAATAGCTCAAACACCAAATATAGACACAGTCGTCTTTATTTTCATCCAATCAGCTCCAAGGACGATAAATGGAGCTCCTGGATTGGCTGCTTTGTAAACGTGTCAGGTAGCATTGCTGCTCTTTAGGATATTTTAGAAAAAATGCATCAAATATGTAGATTTTCTCAGTATTCTGAGTTATGCTCTACCAAACATTAATCTGAGATAAAAACCCGTTGTGTTCACTCAGTAGATTTTTACCGTTGCTTGTGCTCGAGTAAAAGAGCGTCCAGAGGCCAGAGGGCCTGGCGTCGGCTCTGGCCTGTTTCCTCTGGCTGATGAAGCTCTGGGGGGAGAAGGTGCGCCTCCTCTGCCTGCTCCTCCTCCTGGGACGGGGCTCCGGCTCGGTGCCGTCTCTGGGCCCCGCATCCAGCTGGCAGGCTGACAGGGGCCTGTTTGGGCTTCTGTCCTGAGGCGCCGACACGCTGCAGAAACAAAGCAACAGATTCAAACCAACAGGAGAAACGGAAACACGATGGATGAGATGCACCGATCTGAAATTAATATCCGTATTGGTCCTGATACTGAAAAAAGTTCTAAAATAAATTTCTAATTCAGTTCTTTTACGTCCGTATTTTAAAAAAGAGAAATGTTTTCTGTATTGGATCGTTATCAGCCGATACTAAACCCCAGATATCGGTATCAGAAGCGTCCCACCTCTCTGTCGCCATCTGGTGGGGGCACAGTGGAACTGCACCAGGAATCAGACGGCTGCTCTCGGAGCCCATGAAGCCGCTGTCCGTCTCTGGGGAGATTCGATCCTGATCAGTGAAACAGAGAAAACATTTCTGTTGACATGACAGAGCTGAGTAGGAACGAGTTACATTTACTCACTGCACTAAATCTTACCAAGTATTTTTCTCTAGTTTCTAGTGCAAATATCTTATTACACTTGAATTAAGTCATAATTACTCAATATTAATAAAAATAAGTACTAGTTCCACTGGAAGATGAGTACGAAATGTCTAGTTAAATGTTTTTGTGAAAAAAAAAAGACTTTTAGGAGTAGCTTTACTTTTACTAGAGTAATATTTTTTACAAAGTATCACAACTTTTACTTGAATAAAGTTTCTAAATACTCTATGCATTGTAACATACAGCATATTAATTTTTAGAAAAGTGCTGCCTGAAATCTTATTTTGTAGACCTTATTTATTTATTCGTGTGTGTGTGTGTGTGTGTGTGTATTCTATCTCATTTATTTATCTATTTTTGATCAGATCCTCATCAACCTGTGTATTTATAAAGTACTTTGAACTCGAGCCAGAGCTGGGTTGAAGGCCAATGAGCAAAACTAAGTTTTCAAACTGGTTTAAAAATGTTTATATTCAAACCTTTAAATGATCATGAAGATCTACTGTTCTATGAATGGATGGTCTGTTTGACGGAGCAGATTAAGCTGATCTTAGATCTGCTGGTAACGGGAAGGTCAGCCCCTGCGTGACCTTCCTGTTACCCCCTGCGCCAGTCAGTGCTGACCTGAGACAGGACCCGCCTGCTTCCTGTCTGGACCTTGCAGTTCCTCCACTCTGGCGCTCCGTCCACCAGGCTGCAGGCGCTGCTCAGGCTGCTGCTCCGCTCCAAACGTTTCCTGCTGCGGGCCGAAGCAGCAGGCGGCGTGGAGGGCGGGCTGCAGGAGGGAAGGCTGGTCTTACTGCGTCGCAGAGAGTCGACGTCCGATTCCACTTTTCTGCTACAGAAACAGGTTAGTGGGTAAAATTATCTAAACCTCAAAAATAAAAAAGTTAAAAACGCTTTTCAGAAATATTCACACCCCTTTCAACATGTTATGCTCCCCCTTAACAAGTTATGATACAAGATATGATCTTTCCACTTTTGACCAAAATCATTTGTGTTAATGAGATTTCAGGTGTTTTAGAGTCTCTGTCACTTTAAATCCAGGTAAGCTGCTGCTGGCCACGCCCCCCCAACTCAACGTTTACAGTCGCAGGTGAAAATGGCTGCCAACAGATTCGCATTTATACAACCACACATCTTTGAAAAGCAGAAGTGGAGCCTCCTGCACAACCAACAAGAATGCAACCAGTGTTTTTTGGATGTTGAGTCAGCAACAAAACACTTGTCTATTCCAGCAGCCATTGTACAGCTATTGTAAAACCAGCTGAACAAAAGTGCTGGAGTTCTGCCTGGGTTGCTAGGCAACGGCTCAGTGCCTTAACAACCAGGAGGTTTTTGAAACGCCTCGTTCTCCGGACAGCAAAAGACTTTGGTTTTCAGAAGCAGTTGAGGCCCAAATGGAAGCAGAAAAACATATAAAATGTGAATTTTGCATAATAGGTTCCCTTCAAATTTGACACAAATATCAGTTCACAATCAGCAGAACAGTAGGAGTCGTGATTTAAACTCGACTCACCTCTGTGCAAAAGTTTCCTGGACTTCGCCGTTTCCATTTCTCCAACCTTTCTGCTCTTTTTTCTCTCCTCCGTGTTTTGGAGGCGAGTTTGAAGGAAGAGAGGACGTAGCTTTGGGAACTATGAAACACTCCTTCAGTGTTCGGCAGCTAATCACAGGAAAAAGAAATTGAAACAACAACAATGTAAATATGCTGAAGAAGTGGAAAAAGGTTCATTTTTATTCTCCATTCACATCCAAAATGGCTGCCGATCATCAGGTCTGGTCACTCTGATTTTCTGGGAATGATTAGAAACAAAACAAGACGCTTAAACCAGCGAAACTCCACTTACTAATCCAGCGAATCAGATTGTTCAAACTCATCATGTTTGCCCCTTCTAGACAAAGATCTTAAGTAGAGAGACATGAGGTCGTCTTCAGCCACATCTTCCTCTTCCTCACTCTTTTTACAAGCTGAGTTTATCTCCAGCTCTGCTGCAGAACCAGAACCAGTCTGGGAAGACGGACTCTGAAAGGAGACGAGGGCGGTTTGAGTTATCAAACACATAAAACACATGAACACCTTCATTTTTTAATGACATTTAATATAAATATTTTAATTTAATTAAAAAACTGGTCAGAATTATACATAACATAAAAAATGTTATGATTTTCATGTATAAATTTCTTCTGGATTTAACCTTCATCTCCTTTATTAGCACAAGATACTAACGTAGCTTAAATTTCAAGGAAAATTATTATGTTGAACATAATCAGGGTTATCAAGATTAATTTTGATTATTCAAATCAATGAGTGGAAAAAAAGAATACTGCACTTTTGAAAAATATTCTTAAAACTGTTTAGAAACTGATTATAGTTTGAGTTAATACACAAGCCTGTGTGCTTAATTCTGGTTTAGGGCTGAAACAATTAATGAGATTAATCGCGATTAATCGATTGCTGAAATAATCGTCAGCTAATTTAATCAATTAATCGTTAACTGGAGAACACAAACTCACAAAAATGTTACTGAAAGAGCAACATATTCAGGGCAGCAGTTTCACCAAAACTTTATAAAAAATATACATTTTGCATTTATGATAATAAAAACTTTGTTCCACGCAAAACTCAACTGGTAGTTTTAACTGCACCTGGATTATATTCTTTAAAAAAATATATTTTTAATTAATAAACACTTTTTGCTGTCCAAGTACTAATTGGTAAATAGAATAAATATTTTTTAAAATTTAGCCCAACACCGTACTGATGCTCTGTTGAGCAGAAAAAGCTGCTGTTGATGTTAGGATTTTTTTTTAGCTGCAAATTGATCATTTGGTCACAGTGCACACCAAAGGAATGTTGTCTTTATATTTTAGGCAATAAAATGTTTATTTCTTATTTTAAAACGAACTGAATTATTTGTGTATTTGCATTTTCTATTTTTAAAATGCCAATTCTTTGCGATTAATGAATTAATCATCAGAAAAAATCTATTAATTGTCAGAATAATCAACCGTGAACTGCGGCCCTATTTTGGTTGAATAATTATTGCATAATATCAGCTGAACTAAATAAATAAAATCCCTAAAAGGGTCTCAGATTTATTACTGAATGTGACCTTCCTACTCCAAATTATACAGGAAATGCGTCTCCAACTTCAGACGTTTTTCTGATTTTTTCAGAGATGCGAAGCATTAACAGGCAGAAAGAAGAAAGTGTTGGAACCTGCGGCTGAGTCTGGGTTACTTCTCCTTCAGACGGATCACATGAGGAGGTCAGAGGAGGTGAAGAACGACAAGAAGCAACAGCTTTGTGCTCCTCCTGCTGAATCCGCTTCTGCTGGATCCACTTCTGCTGAAGCTGCTCTTGCTGAATCAACTCCAGCTGAATCGGCTCCTGCTGCTGAATCTGATTCTGCTCAGTCTGCTCTTGCTGAACCAACAGCAGCTGAATCGCCTCCTGATGCTCAGTCAGGTCCAGCTGAATCGGATCCTGCTGCTGAATCGGTTCCTGCTGAATCGGCTCTTGCCGAGTCTGCTTCTGCTGAACCAACTCCAGCTGAATCTTCTCCTGCTGAATCTGCTCCACCTGCTCAGTCTGCTTCTGCTGAACCGATTCCAGGTGAATCGGCTCCTGATGCTCAATCGTGTTCAGCTGAACCCGATCCACCTGCTCCTTCAGATCCTCCATCCGCAGCCCGCACTGAAAGATCAGGCTCTCCAGGGTTCTAAAACACACAAAAAACTCTGTGAAATACACCGGATGCCAAGAAACTGGAAAAAAGTTTTTAGGGCAGAAATGATTAATCGTGATTAATCAAATATTGAAATAATCGTCAACTAATTTAGTAATCAATTAATCATTAACTGGAGTAAACAGACAACTCTGTTACTAAGATATAACTGCACAAAGTTTTGCTTAATTGCATCTGTAATATCTTATAGAATAAGGTTATGGTTAAATCTGCAGAATGTGCCCCTTTGTTTTTCTATTCGATTAATCGTCAGAATAGGTGATGATTAAACCTCTGTGTGGCTCTCCTGCTCACCGTTCGGGGTCAAAATGTTGGGTTTCCAGTCCTCTCTGCTGCAGGAGTTTGTGCTCATCTCGAGCCAGAAGGTATCCTCTCTCTAGAGAGTTCAGCCCTTCGTAGAGCTGAGAAACGCCGCGCTGGAGAGAAACGGCTCAAGTTGGAAAAACGGCAGCCAGACAGATTACTGAACAAAGCTCAGTTTGCTCTCACCTTTAATTCTTCTAAGGATGCGAGTTTATCATTCTTAAGGAGATCCTCAAAAGTTTGCACCTGGGAAAAAAATCCAAATTAAAATTTATAAGCCCTATTGGTAGAACTTTGTTTATGTTTTAGTTCTTTTTGTTACCTGCTGAAGGAACTTCTCAGACTGAGTGAACAGGATGTTGGAGAGTTGTTGTCCGAAGTCGGATGGCAAAGAAGAGGCGTCTAACTTTTCTGTTCAACAAACAGGCTGGTTACAGAAACGCATTCCTTCAGTTCCCTTTGTATAAACGAATCAGATTAGAAAGAGGCACCAGATGACGGTTCTACCCTGATGAGCAGCTCGTCCAGGAGAGCCGGTCACAGCTCTGTGAGGATAAAACAAATCCATCTTCAACAGTTTTGAAGCCGTCTGGTTCAGCCCAGCAGGCACGGCGTGACCGGCCTTCGGAGGCTCAGAGTCCAGGTTCACCTGCACGGAAAAAGAAAAATTTATAAATCACCTGCTTCCAAACATCTAATTCTGCTTCACAATTTGGCTCATTCACACATTTTATCTCCAGGAACTGAATGTTAAAGTAAAGGTAGGATTGGGCGATTAATCCGATTAATCAATTTTTACTGATTAATCGAGTTTTTGGTTTTTGAATATTGAATGTTTTTAAAAAATCTGAATAAATTTAATTAAAGCTGCCATCTTGTTTTACAGCCTCTATTTATTTGTACTTTGAATTCAGGTCAACTTTACGACAGGCCAAGATTTTTTTATTTTTAATTAGAATAAATAGATTTTATTGATCCCCAAGGGGAAATTGCTTCTTCATTGAAAATCTACTGCATCTATGGTGTTAAATATTAATTATATAAATATAACCATAAGAGATGAAGTTTACTAAATATATATAGAGAGTGATGAAAGTAATTCAATATGACTGAATATAAATAAAGTCATAACAAATAAATAAATGCAAATATGTTAATCTAAAAATAATCTATAAATGAGTGCAGAGAAAATTAGATGAATTTCTTATTTAACAGAAAATCTAATACACTTGAATTGAGACAAAATTTGCTTCAACTTTTCAGCAAGAAACTTGTTTTAAGTCAGTAACATTGATGAAAACTGGTTGTTCCACTGGCAGATTATTTCAGTGTTTTCAGTGAACTTTTCCATCAATACCAATAAATTATTGACTTAAAATAAGCCCAGATTTCTTGTTCAGAAGTCAGTTGGGTTTTAGTTTTCCCTTATTTCAAGAGTACCAAGATATTTGCAATAGAAACTAGACCAAAAGTACTTGGTAAGATTTTGTGTTTTTGAACTGAATTTAACTTTTACATAAATTAAAATGAAGATGTGGGACTGTTTTACATAATGTTTCAGTTGTGATTTAACGCACCTTTCTGACAAAATAACTTGTTTTTCACCAATAAAAAGTTGGATGTGACTTTAAAAAGATGCAAACCTTCAACAAACTACCATAATGTTCACCTGTAATGTGATTTGTTTGCACTCAGCTGATCCCCTGTGGTTAAGGCGCATTACTTCACTGAGCTGCAGAGTGGTCAAGTAAAATAAACAAAGGCAGCTGGATTTCATTTTTCTTTTTAATTTCAATCTAAAGGCTTCCATGTAATCTTCAATCTAAAAGCAATTTTGGGAAACGAGACTGCAGTCATTGTTTTAAAAGTGGGATCAGTGATAAATCACATCCTTACTAAGAGATGCTTTCATGAGAAAACACAAAGGTTGAAATATGAGAAACGGCCTCAGAGATGAACTACCTTTGCCTCCAGACGGAGACGATCGATGGTGTTCTCCGCCTCCGCGTACTTGGTCAGCAGCCTGTCGTAGTCTTCCTGCAGAGCGACACAAAGTGAGTGGATATTCCTCTGAGCAGCTTTGTTCTGGAAAACAAACTGTTGGACTATAAAAGGAACTTGGTTGAAATAAAGTAAAATAATTTCTGAAGGTTGAATGAATCCACCGAGGGATTAATGAACGCATAGATGAAGCAACATAACTTTTTAATAATGGAAAAGAAAACAAAGTCTTCCCCACGTTGTTTTTTAAATATACTTTTTTGAACTTGAATTATACTTAAATCCTCTTCAAGAAAGTTTAACAGTTTTACTTGAGCACTTATTAATAGATAATTTAAATTGTATTCCTACCTTGAGTAATCTTTAAATGAAATAATGTTTTTTTCTTACGGATGTGACTCGTTTTAATATTATAAATGCTTACTGTAAATCATAAGTCATGTCTGTTTGCTATGCATGTTAACTGTATTTTTTAATCCCGTCCATCAGCAGATTAGGAGGCTACGGATGAAAATGAGCCTTTCTGGGTTAATCTGACACCTTTGCATGATGTATTCATGTTGGTTAATAGGTATTGCTCCCTCTATGAAATAAATAACATTCCCAAATTTGTAGAATCTAGAAAAAACACTTAGTATGTTTTTGTGTTTTTACAGTGTATTGTGTATTAATGTAATTTTATAGCACAACCAAGTAACTATGTTAACTTCAGCTGATAAAAAAATGTTGTATACATCAATTATGACCTAAAATAAGTTTTATATAATAATTTAACGCCTTGAAATTGGGGCTCTGTCTCTTTAAAAGCTCCTCCTCTTTCTGAAGCGGAGTTCAGAAAGAGCAGGTCGTCCCAACATGGCTCCTCCATTAGCCCTTTAAAACATTTTTTGCAGCGCTGAACTGACAGGTAGCTCGTTTAATGAGCTCAGCAGCTCCACCAGATGTTTGCTAATTGCTGCTGACTAGTCTGAAGGAGCTGAGTGGAAGAGCTGCAGGGCTAGGTCCACCCAGGCGTTTCACCCAGCTGAATGGTTGCCATGGTGATTAAAGGATTCCTCAAACATGCATTTAAGAAGCAAAGCAACACTCCAGGTTTGTTTTGATGAGGAAACATCATCATAACACGATGTACAGCTCAAAAAAGTCTATTTTACATAATACTGTGCCTTAATTTAAAACCTTGAAATTGGGCCTCTGTCTCTTTAAGAAGCTCCTCCTCTTTCCGACACAATGTCTTCAGCCCATGATCCTGGCAATGTTTCTCCATGATGCTAATTTTCCATATTATCCAACCTTTAAGTATCATTTCCCTGCTGTTTTCACCATCGTGCACACCGAGCCAATCAGGTTTGGAGTAGCCCGCTAGCTGAGACGCGCTTCCTCCAGATCGTACCTGCAGCTGTTGCAGCAGAGTGGTGGCCTGCTGCCGACACCTGAACTCTGGAGGGACGGTGGAGCTGGCAGCCTTGGTGGGCGTGTTGGTATCACAGGGGGAGGATCTGTCACTGTTGAACAGGACTTCCTGAACGATGTCGGCGGGGGATTTAAACACGATGGGGGGCTGCGGCGACATCGTGGCTCTCTCTAACAACTTCCTGCCTTTCGGAGGCTTGTAGCCTCGCTTAGGGAAATGAATCCTGGGTTCCACCTTCGAGAAGTTCGGGGTTTGATGAGACAGTGATGCTCTCCTGGAAAGGAAAAACAAAAATGAAAGCCAAGATATGAGGTGTCAGTAGCTGCGTTTTCATTCTTCATAAAATTGCTCAGCATGAAATTACAAAAATAAATTTGCTTAATGGAAACACTTTTTATGGCAAAAAATGTTTGATCTATAGAATAAGATGGTTTTTCAGCAGTACACTTTTTTCACATCACATGAGTTACATGATCAACAGTTGGATGTTACTACTGACAGAAACGACAAAGAAGACAACAGGAAGTAGTAGGGAGATGATGGTTTGTTTTTATTTTTTTCGAATAATATGCATTTGGCTCTTGGGTAAAATCACTGACTACCAAAACGTCGCTCATGTAGCCGCTCCAAAGTAATTACATTTTAAGTACTACAGCAAATATCACTGATATTTATCTTTGTAGTACTCAAAAGTTGTGATCAAGTAGTACTCGTAATGAACTTTTACTGTTTATAAGTTAAATAGGAACGAGACGAGAGCTAGCTCTAAGCTTGTGGCTTGTTTATTGTTGTCATAGCAACTCCATTGGTCATATTTAAACATTTCCTGGTAATGATTCTTCGCTGGAGGGCAGCCATAGCGAGACACCACAAACCGATTTAGCAAGTTTTCTGGGGGAAACTCTGTAACTGTTTATATCTAGGACTATTAACGACTTATTGTGTGAACAGGCGATATTAATTTAATTTTTTACTTAATGTAATTACAGAAGTTGTGAAATGTTGCTGTTGTTTTTTTGACATTAGCAGAATATTGAGGAAGATTTCCTACTGACAACAGCAGATGAGCCCACCTGAGCTCGTCCGTTCCTGCAGGGTTACTTCTGGCTCCAGCAGCTTTCATGTTTCTGTCACAACCTCTGGACTCTGCCGAGCTGTTCGAGGCTCTGCCGAAGGAACACGTCCTGGACTTCAGAGCTTCAGCAGGGAGTCCAGCTTTCTGCTTCTCTGATCCTTCTGAAGAAATATTCTCCAACACAACTTGTTCAGAAAGGGGCACAGCTGCCCGAGGGGAACCTCTGAGCTTCAGCTCCAGGCGCGATGCGCTGGACCTCACGCTGCTGCAGCAAGACTCTGTTTCTGTGTCTGGGAAGGTTTCTGCTTCGATCCCTGAAGCAGTCGTCAGCTCCTCCTCGGTGAGCGTGTAACGGTGAGGAGAAAAGGAGGAGGTGACCGTGGACTCAGAGGCCAGACCGCTAGGCTCTGGGTTTTCAACTGCTGCTACGTCGCAACAAATGGAGGAAGAAAGCATTAAAAAGTACTTTTACATAAAAGAGGCTGACTTTTTTAACAAATACTTCTTATAAACTAGCTCTTTTTACACAATGATTTAAAAAATGGTTTCTCAAAATTTTTAGTTTTACAGTTTGAAACTTAATTTGTAAGAAGTTATTAAAATGCAACAGAAAACCGTTCTACTAAACAAATACAAGCTTAGATTTACAAAAATAAACAGACTTAATTCTGAAGCTGACTGTCATTTTGGTTGAAACATTTAAGTGTGACCTATTATGCGTCTTTGAAAAGGTTATAATAGATCTATGGGAGATACAAAACATTTTTGCTCAAAATCATTCTAGATAACTAGATTTTAGGCGTTTTAGGGTGTCCTGTCACTTTAAATCCAGATAAGCTGCTGCTGGTCACGCCCCAATCCCAAAGTTTACACTCATATATGAAAATGGCTGCAAACAGATGCGCAATTACACAAATGTGCATCATTGAAAAGCATTAGTAGAGCCTCCTGGACAACCAACAACGTTACATACAGCAAGTGGTTTCTGGATGGTCAGTCAACAACAAAACACTTGACATTTCCAGCAGCCATTGTACAGTGTATATTGCGGTAAAACCAGCTGACCAAACATGCTGGCGCTCCGCTTTGGTGTAACAGGTAGGATGTAACATTTGTTACCAAGCAACCCCAACCAAAGGAGTAGGAGGGGATTTTGAAACGGCTCATTTTCAAGAGACCAAACAACTTTAACTTATTGCCAAAAATTCGTTTTTAGAAGCAGTTAAGACCAAATAGAAGTACAAAAATATGCAAAGAGTTAATTTTAATAGTAATAGTTCCTCTTTAAAATATGTTGAATATTTAATCATTTAGTCTGAAAACGAGAACTTGAAAGCAGAGTACATTTCCAGGAGGAATAAACTCACGGGCTGGCCGGGGTTGAAGATCATCTCCTGAGGATTTTAGAGACGAATCCTTGTCGCCTCCACTAGGAACCGTGTCCTCTGGGGAGCAAGGATCGCCACACGGGTTCCCTAATTCCCACTCCTCCAGGGCCTCTGACAGCCCAATGATGCCGTCTTCATTCATCTCCTTGAAGAAGTCATCCTCTTCCTCTTTGGCCTTGCCATCGTCATCCTCCTCCCAGGAGTCGTCGGATGTCAGCGCGAAGGAGAGAGACTCTTGGATGGGCGACGGGGTCCAGTGGAGAACCCCGGGTCTGTTTTTTCTTCTGTCCATTCAGCCCTAAAGTCTCAGCTTCTCAGTCCAGCACACGGAGCATCTTTCTCAGATTCTGTGGTACCAACAGAAACCGATGCAGTGATGCTTCATTAAAATACAGACAACGGAATTGAAATACGGAAGGTCAAAATGAACAAAGGTCAACGCGTAGCTATTTTGGTATATTCACTCAATTAAAATAAATATACTTAATTTCCTCTGTAAATAAACAAATGTAATATTATATTCATTTTTAAAAATAAATTTAAAATTGTATAATCGCTTATGGCTGTATTGTATTTACAAATGCTTAGCACTTTGGATGGAGTAGCTTGTGAACAAATAAGCAATTTCCCCTTGGGGATCAATAAATTATATTCTATTCTAGATAAGAAAAACAAAAATCAGTTTAAAAAAAGCAAAATAAATTTTTTCTTTCTTGAATAAAAATATACAAGAAACTTAAAATAGACCAATGAATTTTTTAAAAAATTATTAGTATAATTATAACAAGAATTTTAGTTATTTTAAGATTTTAATTATTAATCAAAATAATAATTTTGATTAATAAAAGGGAGACAGACAAATGATACCAAACGAAACAAAAACTGCGTTAAGTAAAAACAATAAATGGCCACACAATTTTAAAAGCAGTAAAGTACAAGCAGAAGTTTTGTTTGTCTTGTTTTCTGTAATCATTTATCTGCACATCTTAACGGTCATCAGATTTTTACTGATTACAGATCAGTAATCCTCTAAAACTGCATAGGACAGACATAAAATATGTTATTTTACATGTTGAGTAGTTTGGTGATAATGTAGGTAATAAATTCAGGATGCCAGACAAAAAAAGTGTCAAAATATGCCTGCAGTGTCGTGTGACCTCAGAGGGATTAATATAGATGTTTATTTAACGTCTTATTATTCACCTCATTGTTTTATTTAGTTCAGTCTTGTTTGCATTACGAGGAACTAAGACTAACATTTACTGCTGTGTTGCGCGAATAAAACCCAACGGAGCGGCCGACTTTAAAATCTAGTGTCTCATCAGTAGAAACATAAAAGCTCACCTGTTGACTCGTTCAATCTCCCTGCAGAACTGAGGGTTTATCTGAGCCGCCATATGGGGCTTAATCTGCTCTAAACCCGACAGGGGGCTTCACTGACACCCAACAGACCCCCATCACCAGCATACATCTACAACGCTAATCAGCTGACATTCAGGGAGCCGCCATCTTGGATGGACGTTCAAGAAATTAAGGGTGAATAGAAAAGGAAATAAAACTGATTTTTTTTGTTTAAATGATGGTGAAATCAGGTCATGTTGAGGAAAAAAGAAAAATGCAGGTAGATTAAATACAGACGGGAGGATGGGGCGAAGCACGGCCTGATAGGCGGCTCAGATATTTGACTGATAATCTCCTTATGGTTCACCAAGCAGAGCCGAGGACACTGGACGCTCACGCAAGTGGACCAATGTTACTAAAGGTTACTAAAACTGACGAAATAACAAAACATTCAGAAAACATTTTCGTTAAGTGAAATAAATAAAATGGCAATTAAAGGCAGAGAATGCAAAAATTGTACTCAAGTAAAAGTAGCATTACGTCAACATATTTTTACCCAAATAAAAGTAAAAAGTAGCCGTCAAAGAAAAACTCAAATAATAGTCAAAAAGTATTTACTGAGAAACTGATCAAATTATCAATCATTTAATATTTAAAAATTACATCATCAGATGGACCAACATATAAAGTTAAATGTAAATTTTGGTATTTTAAGAACCAAACTGATTCATATAAATAATATTTAAAAAAAATCAAATCAGGCCAATGAAATTTTTTCTTTCAATAAAAATTTTAACAAAAATTGCAGATGTGTGTCTGCGTCTGGTGAATTTTAGGTTAAAACATGTTTGTTTTTCATTCAGGGGGTAGAAAATCCAGAAATTTTACTTTAGTAATACTTCATAATAACTTTCACCTTTTTCATTTCGGCAAAGAAAATTCACCAAGGTATGAAAAAACTAAAATTGGTACTGTGAATAATAAAAAAAACAATATTTGAACTAATAAAATCTACCAAAACCACTCTTAAAAGCTAATTAAAACTAACTGAATTAGACAAAAAGTCACAACAAAATAAATCTAAACTATAATGAAAAATCCTAAACTATCTTAAACCCTGAAGTGGACCAATGAAATGACATCCAACATATTTTGCTTGGCCAATGTTTAAATTAATGCTAAATTAATAATAAAATTTGAAAGGAATTTGCCAGACAGTCTGTATTTGTAGCCTAAATTGAAAGTCTGAAGCTGCAATCTGGTGAAAATATATTATTTCAACAGTTACTTAATTTAACGATTAATAAAAAAGGATTAAAACACTTTTAAAACACATTTTTATGTTCAGCAGACTTTAAAATAAACATTCTGGTCATTTCTACACTTTATTGTTTGGGTCGTTTTTGTCATTTTGATAAAAAAAAAAGCTGTCCCAAATATTTCCCCCGCCCCAATATAAAGTTATAAAACCAACACTTATAGTAGGTAATTAAGATTTATTAGCAGTAGTAAATAGTGTGGTGCAGTAAAACTACTTCTAAAACTTTTATTTTTTTCAGGACTGTTGCTCAAATAAATAAAACTGAGTAACTAGTTAATGCAAACCTTTGTAACACAAACAGCACAAAAACTTAATTTATGATCAACTCCAAATTACCAAAGAAAGGAGCAGCAGATCATATGCAAAGGTTTTTACAGCAGCGGCTCGTTGCCTAGAAACCATAAAACTAAAAAAAAGAAAGGCAAAATGAAAGTCCCACCCCTCCGTGTCTCCATGGCATTCACACCACAACAAACCACCCACTGAGAACTACTCACTGAAAGTTAAAAGACACAAAAAAAACAATATAAACTTATAAAAAAAATTTATATAATTCGTCACCCAGCATCAACGAGAAAGTGCGTCACAGAAAACCGTTAGCTAGCAGTACAAAAGTTCGTTACAGTTTACAACACGGACAGCAAGTTACAGTTAAAAATAAATGTCTGCAGCCCATTCTAAGATTAATTTTGACAGAAAAACGGCGTTACCTTGTTTTACAAAATGTTACAGGACGTCTTTCCTCCAGACAACTTTGACACAGGTGACATTTAGAAAGCTAATTATCATCAGTCCAGAGCGCAACATTGATTCTGCTGCCTGGAAGGCTAATTACCCCAAGCAGAGTAAACGGGTTAAATTTCGCCCCACGCTATGACTTGCAGGTATTTCTTCGCCAAATTATCGACACAAGCATACCATTCATATGATTTACAGCATTTGTGTGCTTTAGAAACTAAATATGTTCCAACAACTTTCAGAAATACATGTTGAATTTCTGGAGATTGCAGGTAGTGTTTACCTTACAGTCAGCGCAGAGGGCTTTGTATAACCTTTCCAAGTCAACCTGAGCTGTGATTGGTTATTATGTTAAAAGGAGGCGGGATATGTCTTTCATTAATAAACCTTAGAAAATGTAGTTATTAAGCGACGCCACAAGAGGACACTGTTTAATAACAATTTGATATTTATGCTCTTCCAAATAAGTTTTAAAATAAAATAAATAATTAGCAAATATAAATACATATATATATAAATTTTACCCAAGTAAAAGTGAAAGCGTTTTTTGGTAGAAAGTCTACTCAAGTACTGAGAAACTGATGAAATTATCAATCATTTAATATTTAAAAATTAAATCATCAGACAGAACAACATACAAAGTTAAATGGAAATTTTGGTATTTTAAGGACCAAAATGACAATAATTCATAGAAGTAACAAAAAATAACAAAATGAGGCAAAATAAATGTTTTCCAAATCAGTTTATTTCAGTATAAAACATGTTTGTTTTTTATTCAGGGGGTAGAAAATCCAGACATTTTACTCAAGTAAAAGTAGATAGAAATACTTCATAATACTTCATTAATGAAATTAATGAAAAAGTACAGCGTCCCTCCAGGATTTTTCTTTTTTTTTTGTTTTTTTTTGTTTTTTTTTTTGGGAAAATTATTGACTTTTGGTGCTAATTTAGAAATATTTGCAAAAAATTAACAGAGTAGAGAAGTAGAAGTAAGACATCCCCACCTACAGGTGGGAGGTACCATCACTTAAACCCGATGTTTTTGATCATTTTTGCAGAAAACCTTCAGTGAACTCACATTAATGCATTAGAGCAAAAAAAAGTTTATGGATGTGTTGATTTGTGTGAAAACTGGAGGGACTGATTGATGTAATTTGGCAATAAACAGATAAAAACTGCTTTGATTTGACTTGTAAAATAACATTTAGGCACACACGTGTGATATTTAAACATAAAACGCTACGGCGGGCCGGATTTGGCCCGCGAGCCTTCAGTTTGACACCTGGTGGACGCAGATGATGGATGGATGTTAACTTTGATCCATCAGCAGTGAAAAATCAGGCTGAATATTTTTCCTTTTCTTCCATATTTCCTCCTCTTCTCCACCTGATGGGGAGGTATCATCTGTTTCCCTGAGGCCATACACACACACACACACACGCACACACACACACACACACACGTACAGGCAGCAGCCTGAATATCACGTCCGACATGTCTCTGATGCATTAATTGTCCTGAAGGCGTTTCAGTCGCTCTAACACAGGAAGAGGATTTGGAGGCAAGAAAGTGTCAAAACTTGGAGACAAACTCAGCGACTTTAGCTTGTTTTAATTTCTGGACATGGTATTTTGCAGGTTCTAAACGATTAATGGGTGGGAACTGACATGATGATTGCTCTCAATATAGATGTATGGAGTTAAATTGGGGCCAAAACTTTAAAAAAAAAACTGAAGACACTGTAAACAAATGTTTAAACATAGAAAATGTCCACTTTAAAACACAACCAGATATTTGAAACTGAAAAAAAAATGAATCTGAAAAGTGGATTTAGACTTTTTCACTTCCATTTTTTTGTCAATCTCTTATAATTATTTTCATTATTTTTAACAGCTTCAAATTATTGTTTCAGTTTTTTTATTTGCAATTTTTTTTCCGATTAAACTTTTTTTTTTAGTTTTATATGTTTTTTTTATTTTAAAAATTCCTTTTCAGTTTCAAATCAATTATTTTTTTATTTTAAGTTAATGAAATCAGAGGTTGATTTTTTTTTCAGATTCAAATTTTTTTTCAGTTTTATATCATTTTATATCATTCAACCTTTAGATATTTTTTTAGTTTGAAATTATTTAAGTTTTTCATTTTAGTTTTAAAAATTTATTTTTCTTATTTTTTTCAGTTTCAAATATTTTATTCAAATTCAAAATGTATTTTTTCAGTTCAAAATCTGTTTCAAAATTTTTTACTTATTTCAATTTCAAAAATGTATTTCAGTTTAATTTTCAAAATATTTTTTTCAGTTTTATATCGTTTTTTCTCGTTCAAAAAATTTGATAAAAATATTTTCAGTTTCAAATTATTTTTTCAGATGCAAAATTTATGTTTTCAGATGACATTTTTTTCATTTTATGTAATGTTTCTTTGAACAACTTTATGGCTCTCTTGTAGCTCCATATAAATATGCTGGTATTTCAGTGCATTCTGTCCAGGCTCCCAGTGACTTTGGAGCAGAAACAGGCCCGCAGCATCACAGATCCTCCACTGTGTTTAACAGCAGGAGAGATGTAATGATGAAAAAGAGCAAAATTAGACAGATGGACTCATCTGAAAAGGTTTTAAATAAAGTCTTATGAAGTTTTGGTGGATTTTTCACATTTTGAATCTGTGGAGGTTAAATGAACTTTACTTTATTCGTCTGTTGAATCCAGAATCAGCAGTTTGATCCGATTACAGACTCACTTTAAATCCGTTTCCATCAATCAGTTGCTGACATTTGCCAACAGGCAGCAGGATGTGTCAGAAAAGCACATGTGGTGTTTTTCTCTAAAATGACTGACGAGAGTTTGATGGTGATTTGTCAGAGCCGTCCAGGCGGACCGTTTCCTCTCTGCTGGTGACATTTATATTCATCTTTATTCACCATCTGCTTGTTTTGACCATATTTCTCTTGTTTCGTCCATTAAGCGCAAACAGACACGCTCCATCTGCAGAAAACAAACAGAACGCACCTTCCTGCACCAAATGCAGATCCATTTCTATAATTCCAACCCAAACCGGCCCAACATGAGTCAACAGAGTGATGAACAGAGAGCAGAAAAACTCCACAACAAATTAGATTTATTTTTGTTTCCTCTCCGTCTTTCATCGCTTATCTGCTAATTACTGTTTCTAAAGACAGACGGAACGTGAACGCCCACTCGCTCGGCATGTATGATTTTTATTTTAATATTTAGCGATGTCATTCTGTAAATGTCTCATTACTTTCTCTCTCGGGTGTAATTGCTGCTCCTGAAAGCCCCACAAGAGGGGAATGTGATTAAATGTAGCTGATTAAAAAAATTAAATCATCGTCTGGGGAACCGGTGCAGTCAGGGGTGAAAGGACGAGGCAGACTGAGCGCGTCTGACAATATCTTTAAATAAAATAGAAATAAATAAACTATTCATTAAAAATTAACAACTTTTGCAATGAAAGTAAATCAATAAATCAATAGTAAGAAAAGCCAATTTTCTTACTACTAAAACATATAAAAACACGCACAAGGTGCGTCTTATTTTGCAAAGGTAAAATGCTAATTTGTAAAGTGTTAATTTTTCTTAAACTCAAAAACAAGAAGCACTGCACTCTACAACTTCATTTATTTAACTCAGTTTAGTTTTTCTATGTTCAGACATTCCTTAAAATCTGTGGAATAATCTATTACAGTCACATGTTGATGACTTCAGTAAATAAAACACTATTTATAAAAGATAATTACAAATATAACATTTAGTTTTCAGGGCCATATTTAGCCAATAATAAAAACGTAACATCAGAATGAGGAAAAAAGCTTAAAATTTTCAGATTTAAGTCAAAATTCTGAACAAAACTCAGAATTCTAAGAAAAAAAAAAAAAATTCTGAAACTGAGCTCAGAATTTTGATAAAAAGGTTGAATTTTAAGATTGAAATGAAAATCCTGAGAAAAAAATACTGTGAAATCTGAGGAAAACTGTCTAAATTCTGAGATTAAAATCAGAATTGAGAAACAAAAATCAGGATTTTTAGTGTACAATCAAAATTTTGAGAAAGATTCAGACAAAAAAGGCTAAATTTTAAGATTAATATCAGAATTCTGAGAAAAAAAAGTCTGAAATCTGAGATTTAAGTCAGAATTTTGAGAGTAAAAAAAATTATTTTGAGATTAAATTCTTAAATCTTTAATTTTGTTCTGTATCTCACACTGAAAATCCAAGAATCAAAATTTAGATTTTATTCCCTGAGAAACTAATCCTACATTAAGATTTTTTCTAGTAAAATTAGTTAAAATGATTGCTGTCTTTAAAAATTCCTTGTCAATAAATATATCTAAAACTCAGATTTTTTGGGGGGGAAAATGTTGTGGATTTTATTGACAAAATGCAGCCTGGAAGCCGTCTGCTCTGCTTGGGAATTTATGTTTTCACAAACTATATTTGGGTTGTAATAAATTACATCAAGTAACCTTCAGACTTGTACTTTCTGCCTTTCTCTCTACTTGTTTCCTAGAAATTATTTCTGTTCCGTCTTTATTGGTTGTTCAGAGTTTAAACTTGTAATTCTTCTGATTCACATGATGTTTTGTTTTTTTCTTGAGGTAAACTTTATTATCTGACAGACATTTAAGTCTAATCTTCAAACATCGGAAAACTGAAAATAATCATCAGTGGGCATTTTGTTGGGATTCTGATCTAAAATATCTCCTAACTTAAACAGAGAAATAATTCACTAAATAAAAAAGATAATGAAAATATAGGGTTTTGTTTTGTAAAAAACTAAGCTGATAAGTGATAAAATATCAGCTTGTTTTTCTGCTGAAATGTATTCCTGAAAAAAGATGTAATAAAATATCTGGTATATAATTAAATCTGTGATTCAGCTTTGTGATGCATTCAAACGACAGGCTGTTTGTGTTTAACAGAGGAAGATAAATCAGGGGGATTGCCTGGTACATCCATAATTACTTCCTTCCCAAACAGTTCGAGTTTTTATATAATCTGTTCAGAGCCTGACAATATGACAGCAACTCAGGCAAATAAACCTTTATGAGCAACATTATGTACCTCATCGCTTATTTTTACAGAAAATTATAATTGGGAAAAACAGTTTAAATTGCTTTAAAGTCAACAATATGTCTTCTTCGACGGTATTTTATTTTACCAAGCTGAAATATAGTTTTAATTTCTTCTTCTTCTTCAAGCTGCCAAGTGGCAGTTTTTAAAAACCTAATTAGTTATCCACTAAAAATGCTTCATAACAGTGAAAAACATGAGCAAAATTACTCCATAAAGTACAGCAGTCAAACCTGCTAGTGTCAACATTAGTGTTAGCATGCTAACGCTAACAGTAGCATGCTAACGTTGCATTCTAAAGAAGTTAGATTTTCTTGGAAAAGTATACATCTCCGATGATTTGAGTTCATAATATAGGTACCTTTAGAGTAAAATGGAGATAAATACGTTGTTTTCAACTTGTGGCACTGACAGAAAATGACGTCAAACTGCCGCATTTAGAACAGAAGCAGCGCCGCCATTTTAGCTTCGGACAAACGAGCGTTAAGCTGCGTTTTGTGTCTGAACAGCTGATTTTGTTTGTGATCGGCTGGTTAAGGTTATTGCCCACCAACAGCTGCTTGGCAACCGCAAAAACACTCAAAATGAAGAACTGTTTTATGTGACACCGAGCTGACATAGTAAAACTAATCCTGCTCAAGGTGCCCCAATCAATTCACAGGCTTTTCAGAATTAATATTTAAGTGCTAGCGAGTGCTAGCTACCACAGTTAGCCAGAAAACAAATAAAAAACCTACCTTTCAACCAAATGCCTTCTTTCCGCTCACTTTCAGTCCTCCTCACTTCAACCATCGCTTTAGTTTTTCCACACTGAGCTTGTGTCAAATATTGAAACGAAACTCCTGTTTAGTCTTCATCTTCCAGGATGTTACACATTCTAGATGTCGACACGGTGCTTTGTTTGTCCGAACATCTTTATTTGTGAGCCAGTATTTTATCCACAGTGAGCCTATCCCAAATGTACCTTTGAGATTTGAGTTTTAAGACTAGATTTGCCTGATGGTGCATGAGCTATTTAAACAATTTAGATTTATGAGGGAAAAAAGTCAGACTTTTGATTTTAAAAAAGTCAGTCTTCTGAGAAAAATGTCAAAATTCTGAAATTCATGTCTGAATTCTGATTAAAAAAAATTCTGAAGTCTGAAACAGAGGATGATAAATGCTGATTTTTTTCCCCTGAAAAAACAATCAGCATCATTTTGAAATTAAAATCAGAATTCTAAGAACTCAGAATTAAGAAAATAGAATTCTGAAACTCAAATCCAAATTCTTAGAAAATGTCAGCATTTTGAAATTATAGTCAGAATTATGAGAGCATATTTTTTTTATTGTATTGTTGGCCCTAATCTTCTTTCATATGTTCTAGACTTGTAGGCATTGGTTAATTTTTTTATCTGCTCTTAATTTTCTGTGGATTGTGGCATGTTGAGTTACTTTTTCAAACTAACCTACTTTATGTCATACAGGAAGGAACCATTTATCAAAATTTGGAAGATAATTATTAAATGACCCATTTTTATAGTTAACTGACTTATCTGGTACCCCTTTAAGTCTATTTCTGAGCTCCTCATACAAAAGGTTTAAAGATAACTCAAAGGTTACACATGTTTTTATTTATATAGGAGCATTTTAATGTGTGCAGCATATATCCATCTGTATCTACATATGTCCATTTTTACATACAGTACAAACCCGAGCTTGTAAAGTCAAGCATCCGTCGGTTTCAGCTGTACAGTTCACTCTCAGACAGAAGCAGAAATAAACGTTAAATAAATAAAGGAGACGTCAGACAGAGCGAGGATCCGTTCCAACAGCTGCAGGTTTCAGACAGAAAGAAACCAGAAAGGCTGGAGGTAACACGTTGAGGAAATAATGCCTTTCAAGTTAAAGGTTGGATTAGAAAAGAGAAGGAGGGCTCAGAGATCAGTCGGTGGTTCTGTTTCGGTTTGTGCCATCAGATCGTGAAGAAGGTTGGCCGTCATCATCATCATCATAGTCGCCTGCTAGCAGCTATAGCGCCACGTTGAACTCCGTCACCAGGAAGTCGACGTAGTCCCTCTCTTTGGTCTTGAAGGCCTCGGCGATGAGGCGAGCGGCGTCCCGGTGCTCTCGGCCCCTGAGGGAAACCCCGTTTACCTCCAGGATGATCTGACCCACCTTCAGCTGGCCGCAGTTATGGGCCGAGCCGCCCCTCTGCAGCGCAAACACAGGAAGTACATCAGCATAGCACCAGGACAAGGTCACATTTAGGGCTGCAGCTAACAATTCAGTTACTTTAATTTATTTATTTCAGACAAAAAGTAAAAACAAGGAAAAATAAAAAGCTACACAAAGGATCTTCCCCATTGATTAAACAGATGATTAATTGGATAAAAAATATGAAACACTTGAATCAATAATATATATCACAATATCAATAGGTAATACATCTGATAGAATATTCAACATTTAAGCTAAGCTAAGGTGGTGGAATCAACTAACTCGCATGCTTTTTGGTTGCCTAGCAACAGCCTGCTGAGTAGGAAGCAGTTTCAAGTTCCGCCCAACTCTGGTTACCTAGCAACAAGCTGGTGAGTAACTGGCGCAGCAACAGTTTCAAGTTTCTCCTCAGCGCCTCGAAACTTATTAAAAATAAAAAATGACGACATGGAGAGAAAACTGGATGAAACAGGAAACATCTTAACAGCCTGGCAGGATTTCAGACATTTAAAACAAAAAACTAATCAATAATTATCGATATCGACTGATATGAAACACTTATATCGTGATAAATATTTCAGTCTAACCATATAACCAATAAATTAAAAGATGAAAAAAACAAATAATTCAAATTTTTTTAAATAAGAAAATGTAAATTGTATAACCTAAAATGTAATAACTTAGTATAATTTAAAGTAAAAGACGTATCTGCAGCTTAAAAATAGATTATTTTTGGATTAATAATTGGACAGTAAATGGGATTTTTTTTTAGCAGAATTTTGTAAAACACATTTACAGAATTTTTTTTATATCTTAAATGGATAATGTATCTTTTTTGGACTGAATTACTACTCTATGTTGTTTTTCATCAAATGGCATTTTTTAAAGTTTGTTTACTGCAGTTAGTGATTAATCGATTGGTAAATTAGTTGACGATTATTTCAAAATCAAAACAATTAATAATTTCACACAAGTCTATTTGTTTCTAAATAATAAAAATAGTTCCACCTGAAGCGTTTTTGAGTCAAATTACCAGCAGGTTTAACATGTTGGAGGATATTTATTGCTAAATTTGCATCACAAATGGGGCTTTGAAAATCAAACGATTTAAACAATTTTACCAACTTCTGAGGAGTTTTCCTCTGAAAATGTTCTCATGCCTTCATTACATCTAAGCAAATTGGTTTAGTTAACTTTGTTTTTTTAACTTAATGAAAAGGGCTTCTTAGTTTCTCTTGTGGGTAAAATTTACAATATTGGCAATTATTTCCTGAATTCTTGCATAATGCCTGATTTAAATATGGATTAGATGGATGTTGATGAGTTTTAATGGTGCAAAATTCTTATAAAGGCAACTTATCTTACATAAATACTTACAAGCATGTGATTTCAGAGGCAGTTATGAATAAACATGTTAATTAAACCAATAACAAGACGTATGAAAAACATTTTCAGGTCACATTAGTGAGATAAATATTCATTATAGAATAAATAGATGGGTTATCATAATAAATTAAAGTAGCTTTTAATGGAAGAGTGTTATTTCCTAATGTAAAGTTTTTGTGCATCTTTAATTTTTTCATTTCTGATTTTTAAATATAAACCTCAGAAGCTGCATCAAAAGAACCTAAGAAAACGTCTTGAAATTAAAATGTTTCAATAAAAACAAAAAATTATTTTGTTCATAAATGAGAAAAAAAAACCTTTCAGAGAATGACCATTTCATTATAAATTGACAGAATTTATTTCTAATATGTGAAGAAATGAGGACCAAAACCAACAACAGAACCATTTACATTAGACCCACATCCTCAGATCGGTTTTAAAAGTGACATATTTTCTTTCCTGAGCAGGTTAGGACAGGTCTATGGCCTATACAAAACAGATTGGTTACATTTTTGGCTAAAAATCATGAGATTCTAGCTTAGAACACTCCAGCATGTTTAGTAAACATGCTGGAGTTCATCTGGGGTTGCTAGGTAACGGGCAGAGTTCCGCTGGGGTTGCTAGGGTAACTTATTTCCAAAAACAAGCTGGGTCGGTTTGTTTTTAATAATTTGGGCTGCAGAGACCCAAATGGAAACAATCAAAATGTGGATTTTGCATAATGGGTCCCTTCTAAGGCAACACAAATCCTCCAGAATATTGAGAATACAGGGACAGGTACAACTGCAGCAGTTTTTCTCCGTCCTCAGATGTGGAGATTTGGTCTAGCTGAGAGGAAAGCCCTTGAGGACAGGAGCGATTGGACATACAGAAGCCAGGGAATTGCTGTATCACCTCTCACTGCTGCAGAGAGACTGAACTGTCTGGGCAAAGCTTTGATGCTATCGTCTGAGGCCAATGGGAAGCTAAACAACAAAGAAAACCTTAATTGCGTTTTTTTCTTCTTCTTCTTCTTCACTCAAAGCGAGTTTAGTAATCTGAAGATGTTTGTTTTAGATCATTATAAAAAGCAGATCCAGTTTGAACCGGTTTCACACAGATGTCCTAATATTATGATTACAAATTAGAGTGAAAAATATTTTGTGCTAATACATCAAATCATGTAATTCTGTAGAACAAAAAATGCTTAAAAATGTAATTTTAAACACAGATTTGTTTAAGTTTGCATAAACAAATCTGTGGAAATGATTTGTGTATGTGATTCAGTTTTTTGATTACAGAAATCTGTGTGAAACTCTGCTGCCCTCTGCAGGCGCTTCTCAAATTGCAGCTGCAAATTTTAGATCTAGAAGGCTTTTTTTGTTGTTTAGGAATTAATATGGATATAAAAGTAGACTTCCTCTTGTATAACTGAGTTTATATGCATCACTTTGAGAGCCAAACAATCACACACGCTGTGACAAATTACTGGTATTATTCAGAATAAACAACAGTACTGTAATAAAGATTTTAAGCCAACACATAGGTCAGCTACACTTTAGCTCCTGTAGACTGTAGCGCTAGCAGAACTAAAGTTTATGATTAGTGCTTTAATATTAACTTCTGCTAAATACCATATCAGTGTAGAGGTTTAGCATTAGCAGAACTAATGTTTATGATTAGTGCTTTGGCATTAGCTTCTGCTGAATACTGTATTGATGTAGCACTTTAGTGCTAGCGAAAACTAATGTTTATGATGTTAATTTAGCTAAAAACTGTATTTGCATAGTGCTTTAGCATTAGCAGAAACAATGCTCATAATTAGTGGTTTAGAATTAGCATATGCTAAATGCTGTGTTGGTGTAGCCCTTTAGTGCTTGTGAAACTAATATCTGTGATTAGTGGTTTAGGGTTAGCATAGCTAACTTTTTAGCTAGCGGTGTCTCCACTGCTTTACTGGATTAATATGCAATTATGGGTTCAAAAACCTTCTTAAATTATCAGTAAATTGTTGCATTTTTGGCTCTAATATATTTAAGATGTCTTTCATAACTACATTACAGTTGTTTTTAAATTAAAAACTTTCCTTTAATTGTGAAATCCGAATGTTTCCTAACATGATCTTTCATTTGGTTTCAGGTGGAGACGCCACTCAGCGGTAGAGAAAGAGCTCCTTGTTCCTTCCTCTGCTATTATCCACTGTAATGAGGAGCATATTTTTCATTATTAGTCTCCCAGTGAAGTGACTCAGAGCTCCATTTTTGAGGTATAAATGTTGTTTATGACTCTAAATTTAGAGACACGGAGAATTAAACCGAGGTTCTTATCGGCGAGGCAGTAATGGGGAATGCTGCCTGTAAAAC